CGGGCTCTTCTTCCAGAGCTCCTTGTGGAAGAAGGTCGTCTCCGTGCCCGAGTTTGGACCTCTTGCTCCCGGCAGACGAGGAGGAGACATCGGGCTTCCTGCTGAGGAGCGACGTAGCGAAATAAATGGCAACGACGGTGAAGAGGATGGCGGGGATGATGACGGCGGGGTCCAAGTCCATGATGAAGAGCCGAGAAGTCACGGAGTGTGTTTGTTCAAGGCTGAGGAGCGTGTGTGTTAATCAGGCTGCGATCACACACACTGAGCCTCATCCCGCCTCCTCACACAATCTGACCTCAACAGCTGACACACACACACACACACACACACACACACACACACACTGGGGCAGCAGCCGGATCTGCTTCAAAATAAAATACATAAAAAGTCATTTCTTGCAAGTGTTCAAAATAAAAGCCTCACATTCAGGATACAGGGCTTTTCGAAATTAAAGACCTAAAACTCAAATGCGGAGGTCAGAGTCAGTGTTTAATACAAAACGGTCTAACGTTTGTTTAGCGTTACTTTTCAAAATAAGAGACCTGACATGTAGGGCACAATAACTCGGGCTTCTTGTTCAAATGAACATGACTTACACAACTTTAAACTTTCAAAATAAACTACCTGACACACAGTCTACCACAGCATCGAAGAATGGTTTCAAAAATTAAAAACCCTACAAACAGCACGTAAACCCAGTTAGAGATATTTCAAAATAAAAGTCGTTAACAAAGGGGTAAAAGAGGCGTCGAGGGCTAATTTTCAAAGTAAAGTACCCCATGACAGCAGATAAGCTGCTTACCAAAGCAAAGCCCCGAGCCTAGTGTCTGCGTGGGCATTTAGTTTTCTTTTCTTTAAAGTGATTCAAAGGCACCGGAAGCTCTGCTCGGCCTGCAGCCACCGTCAGGCTGAACAACCCGCAAGAAGCTTTAAGCGGTCACGTCAGAGTCTGAAATCCCTGTTAGGATCTGTTCCGCTGTCTATGGAAGCTGCCATTATCAGAGTTATTTATTCTTTTATTATTTTTATTTATGACTGAAGATTTTCTTCTCTGTCGCTCTTTCATTCTAATGGTCTGACATCAGGTTCGTGCTCACGATGAGAATAAAGATCAACTTGTGTTTTAACCAAATAAACCTTTAAATGCTTTTTGTTTCCCACATTTAAAACACAACAAGAAGCCTGCCAACCAGCAGACATGTCAAAGGTCAGAAATGGTGTGCGTACACTTGTTGGCCACTTCATTAGGCACACCTAGTTATCTGCTTGTTAAATAATGAACCAATAAGCCAATCACGTGCGAGCATTTAGACACGCAGGTGAAGACGAGCCGCTTAAGTTCAACCTGAGCATCCGGGTGATGTGACGGTGGGGTTGTTGGTCCCTCTGTGGGCGGAGTCAACGACGTGTACCTAATAATGTGGCAGGTCAGATTTTAACAGACAGGTCTCCCACCTGCAGAGCACATTTTTAAAATCTGATTATTAAATTCTCCCGAAACACTTCAGAAAACGAGCTTCAGGTTCAAGACCAGAGAAACGACGTATTTTATTTTACAAAATATATTTTTTATAATCCTGTTGAGCTGCATGTTTATTGTCATGTGTACAGAAGAAATTTCTCTGTGTGATGAAACTCTTCCTTTGCTGTCCACACACAAACGCCAAGTTTGGTTGAAGGAAGAAGCTAAATGAGGATAAAAATAAGACAAGTTAAGATTAACAAAAAGGTAAAAATAGTGAAAGATAAATAAGTACAAAATGTGTAAATGAAGTGAGGTATGCAGTTGTCAGTGTAAAGGGATGTACAAAGGAGCTTAGTGTGCAAATTGCAGTTGAGGAAGGTTCAAGAGTCTGATGGCTGTGGGGAGGGAGGAGGAGTTGAGTCTGGATGTTCTGGATTTCACACTCCTAAACCTTCGTCCCAAGAGAAGTGTGAACAGTCCATGTTGGGGGTGTGGGGTCTCTAATGATGGAGGCAGCTCTCCTCTGGACTGTGCGATGGTTGATGCTCTGCAGAGAGGCCAGCGGGTCCTGATGATCTTCTCCTGTTATCACTCTCTGCAGGCGTTTGCGGTCCACAGCAGCAGGGCTGCAGCTGTGGACCGGCATCCCAAATTTCCTCAGCCTCCTTAGGAAATACAGCCGCTGCTGAGCCTTCTTGACCAGCTGTGTGGTGTTCAGTGTCCAGGTGAGGTCCTCACTGATGCGAACGCCCAGGTACCTAAAGCTGCTCACCCTCTGCACTTCACTCTCCCGGATAAACAGCGGCTGGTGAGGCCTCCTCTTCTTCCTCATGTCTGCTATCATCTTTGTTTTATCAGTGTTGAGGGTGAGGTTGTTGTCCTCACACCATGACAGACCGGCCTCCTCTCTCCTATAAGCTGCCTCGTCCCCACCAGTGATGCGACCGATCACTGCAGTGTCATCTGCAAACTTCAGTATGATGTACAGGGTGTAGAGGATGGAGCTGAGGACGCAACCCTGTGGAACTCCAGTGTTTGTGGTGCTGGCTGAAGGGTGGAGCGCAGGCCGAGTGCAGCGTTAAACGTAAATGAACGTGAAGGTTTTCAGTCACGCAGGTCATCGTGGTCTAAGGAGCTCCTTAGAAAAGTAAATGAACTTTATTTCAGTGATTTTTCAGCTGAAATAAGTTTTTACAGGAAGAGAAAAAACAAGACGATGTTTCAATCATAGAAAACTTTTATTGAACAATGAAATCAATCACACGTCTGAGCTTCTCGTCATCAACAGACCTTCACTTAAAGGCACCGTGTGACGGCGTCACAGAGCAGCAGCGTGCCTTTGAGAACAGGTAAAACAGCGCCCCCTACAGTCAGTCACAGCACTGTTAGGCACTTTAAAGCGACAGGTCGGCAGGAAGTGAACGCACAGCCGGCGATCTGACTGGTTTATTGTGATTGATGACAGGAGATTAAACAGATCTGAGCTTTAACGAGATGTTTCTCTGATTAGAAAAAACATTTGATGAGGAATTAAAACATCTTTAGTATCATTTCTGTTTGCTGACGTTTATATTTCGTGTCCAGTGTAGTGACAGGTGCCTGCAGTCACCTGCTGTGCCGCGGTGGCAGACATCTTTGCTTCTCCTGAACGTTTAAAAACCTCAGCAGCTGCAGACGTTCAGACAAATATCAGACGGCATGATTACAGATCATTAAACTCAACAGTGATTGGCTCGAGATCTCTACAGGTTTTTTATGGATTTTTGGTACTTGGAGCGTCACTGCTGTCATGGTGAAGAAGACAAACCTCTAAAAAAATATACATAAATAAAAACTCACTTTGCTCTGAGGACACGTTGGATCATTGGGGCGAAACTTTAAGCAGCCGCACGCGAGCCCGTTTTCACTGTTACGATTTGAGTTGCTGTGGTCAGAAAGTTTTTGAATAATTAAAACGAAGCCTCAGCTGATACTCAACAACAAACTAACAGGCTCCTCCCACACGCCACCGCCGTCCACCACCTCTCGGCTGTTCGTCTCTTGATTTTGGCACAAAGTAGAAACATCAGCTGAGAGCTGCAGAGGTCCTGCTCTAATGTCATTAGTCTGTTTGGCTCGAACAGGAAGTGTCAGACAGCAGGCAGGAAGTCTCCGTCTGGCACGTTAAGGCGCTAAGTTGACACCTCCATGACGTCAGCGTCAGGTGGAGAGGAGAGGACGGGGCCTCGGGTCACATCTGGTTCTTAAGACAGTTTGCAAACAAACGAACAGAAACGAAGCGCCAACCCGAGAGACGTGGACGCCGCCACCCTCGTCTCTCCAGATAACAGGAAACAGCTGAGACAGAACGTCGTTTCAGCTCGTGCACAAGAGGGTGTGAGAAACCTCCCAGCCTGTGGACGTTTATCTAAAACATTCATTAACGGTGTGATCTGAGCTAACGGACGAGCTTTAACACCATCAGAACAAAACACGTTTAAAAGCACTGCTCACGTCCTCCAATCAGGAAACTGTTTAAAAGGCATCACATCAGAAACTCATCGACCGCATCAGCGCACGAAAGCCAACACCAAAGGACCGCCAGCTAACCTTGATGCGCTCTTATTTTGAAAGCTGAGTCCTTACCAACTAGCTAGGCCTGTCACTTCCTGTCTTGCTGTTGTGGTCGTTTCGACTTCTTTCAGCTGCTTCTCCAGAGACGATCTCGCCCCACAGCTGCACTCCACCTCCTCCATCTTGGACCGCAGGTGCCCGTTGTTTCCTCAAGCTCCTCTGAGAGGAAGCTGGGTGGGGGGGGGTCACCTGTGCACACCTGCAGCAGGTGGAGAGTGGGAGTCTGTCCATGAGATAAGAGCTCACTGGAGAGGCAGCTGATTACTACGTTTCATAAAAGGACATCGGTTTGTGTCACGCTGCGTTCGGATCAATCGGGATTTTTAGAAACTTTCTCTCCTACAAACTCAAACTGCAAATGTTCTGTTATAAAAATGTTCCACTGGAACCTTTGTGAAAACGTCACAGTTCCTTTAAGACGGCGGCTCAGGAGGCGTTCCCATGTACACCGCCCAAAGCACCAAAGAGCTCAGATTCACGTAGACGATCGGCGAGTCGACGGCGAGAAACCGAAGACGCCATCAGAGTTTGAAAAGCAGAAGTTGGAGAAATGGTGGAAAAGCTGAAGTGCCGGTGAAATCCTGCCCGGCTGCAGTGACCTGCTCAAAGTGCCGGCGGTTCGTTTACAGTTAACCCGCCCAGCTCCATAAACGCCTCTTCACAGCCTCATCCTCACAGAAGCTACAGAGAAAAGCACAGTGGTGGCAGGTCTCCTCCTCCTCAGGGTCTCACACCTTCAGCGAGACGAGAAGCAGCTGGAGCCGCAGAGTCGCCGCCGCCGGGCGGAGGTCACCGCGACGAGCTCCTCTCCTTGCTGACGCAGTCATCCTGGCTGCTCGTGTCTCCGTTGGCCGCCGTGCCACAGGTGCGTCTCTTCTTCCTTCGGTGAGACATGGCGTCGCCCTCAGAGCCCGACCCCGCCTGTGGGAGGAGACAGAGTGCACATGCTCAGACGGGATCCACAGCGGCGACAAACTACAAGTTTTTAACGTTTTCCAGAGGAAGTTTGTGTGTTTCCTGTTATAAAAATGGAGTATTTGTCAGGCACAGCTTTAAGGCGTGCGTGCACTCCCACAGACGCACCTGCATCAGTAAGAAGCTGCCAGCTCAGGTGTGATGTGACAGCTGCGATTAATATAAGCAGGACTGCACCTGAGCGGTCACACTTTATATCCTGCAGCCAGGTGCCGGATCTCATTTCGGCATTCACCTACGTCTGCTGCTGTGAATGTTATAAACACTCTGCAGGACGACCGACCTTAGTGATCTGGATTTAGGTCTCAAACTTAAACGCTTCACATAAACGTTGAGATGAGGAGTGACATCGTTTTCTTGCTGATGGAAGTTCACAGATGTTTCACAACAACATCTGGAGTAAAAGTACTGTTGGATGCTTCGTCTCTAACAGCTTCCAAGACCACCACTCCCCCTGCTGGTGGTGGTGAGTATTACATACAATAAACAGGAGAATACGTGTTAGCATAAATGTAGCTTCATAACTGTTTTTATGATTTATGAGATTATAAACTAAGGAGCACTCATCGTCACAGCTGGTGATGCAGCTGTGACAATGAGGCCACACGCAGCCCAGCCTGGAGTCTCTACAGGTTTGTCTACAGTTCTGTGCAAAA